AGCTGTTACCTGTTTTCCTTGGATGAAAATTTGGACTAAACCAGTGTGACAGATGAGCACCACCCAGGTGGGCAGGTGTTTGTTGATACATAGTCTTTATTTGTTTGCAGTGTCAGGAGCACCAGGATTTCACCTTGTCAAATGCTTAGCATTTAATAGCTCTGCTTATTGCTTTGTGCCCTGTTCATCTGCTTTGCCCCTTCCATATGTCTGTGTGAAAGGACTCATTGAGCAACTGTGTGTATTGGGCTCTGGAAACACCTATAAGTGCTACTGTTGGTAGCACTTGAAATTAACAGTGGCAACAAGTTCCTGTTGGAATAGAGCATCTTTGATTTTTCTGTTCTGAGTAATGTAAACTAAGCATATTATCAAAATTTTGGGAGAACATCTGTTTTTCTTGTGGTTTCAGCACAGATTAGACTGGAGAAAGCCTTTATGTTTTGTATTAACAGTGTTCAGTAGGACTAAAGATTTGCATTTAATCCTGTCAAGTAACAAGTACTGAGTGGAATTCTAAATTCCTCATATGCAACTGCTCTTAATTCCTGTCCAGTAGTTTGTAATGTGCAGCGTTCAGACTTCCATTTTCAGAAGGATGCAGGTGATGATAAGGATCTTTCAATAATATCCTCCATTTTCTCCAATGTTTTCAATTTTTAATGCAAAACTGGGATGCACGACCAAGTAGCCTAAAAAGCTCCTTTATTTATTTATTTATTTATTTATTTTATTTCTTCCACTTCAAAGTAAGCACCTAAATATTAAATACCTTAATACCTTTGTATAACTTCAGAGCAATCCTCAGTGATATTTCTCAGGCACTGATACTGAACCTTTAAGCAGCTCATAAGAATTGTGACTTCAAATTGAGTGAAATGTGGCAAGGCAGAAGATCACAAAACAAATGACATAGATATAAATAAACTATTAAATGGATCACTACCATGTTACTCTGAATGCAGTGTCCCTTTAAAAAGGCATTTTTTTGTCTTGTTGTTACAAGATGTGCAACCATGATGAGGATACTTCTCATATGCTTTCCAAAGCATTTCCACAGGATTAACATGTTCCTGGATAGATGCAGTTCCACTTACTTGTCTAAGGCAAGAGTTTAGTATCAGCCATTTTTGCTGAGAATTTCTGAGCATGTGTGCCCAGCTGTGCTGTAGGTAATTACAGAGATCTCAAGGTCAAGCAGTGGTGAAGCAGGAGATATTCTTTGGATACAGGCATCTGAAGTTAGAGTCCTGTTTTAACTGTGTAACTCCTTATTTGTATATGGTTTCTAAGGAGTGTTTTGATTTTTGTTTTTGTTTTTTTTTTCAATATCTAGGCTTTAATTTTTAGTATGTAAAGGAAGGATTTATCAGCATACTGGACCACATTGGTTTAGATTAGAAGTGTGTTTTGACTAATGTCCTGTCTCTAGCTGTGGTCATTATTGTGTATTTAGAGAGCAAAACCAGGGTGCCCATAGATCAGTGTGTTCTGTAGTATATTTTCTAGCTTCAGACAATTTGCAGTGAAGAGACTTGTGCTGGAGGCTGCATCTAGGAATCTTGATGGCCAGTTGCCTTGCATTTTTTGTCCTTTTTGGACCTATTTGTACTTCTGATGCATGTGAGACTGAGACATGGAGTTCCACAAATTTGTGTGCTGGCCAAGGGGAATGGCTGTAAAGTTATATTGAGAAATAATTTATAAAAGCTTTATATGAAAATTTGTAACATTTGGCTGAAAAGCATCAGAAATAAAGCTGCAGAAGATACAAAATCTAACTTGCTTCGAGACATGCGTGAAACATAATATTTCCCTGGAATCTTTAGACTGTAACCTGAAACAAAAAACAGCGTTTGTTTCCAGGCAAAGGCTAGAAAGTGGTCCTCTATTTTCTTATAAAGTAGGTAGGAGTTTGAGACGAGATGCAGCTAAATCAGTGAATTTATTTTAATCCAGCACTGCAGTGAGGTAGGTGGCAGACTGTTACTTCGCAAGATTTTTACTTACAAGCTGATCCCTCTGCAGAGACTCATCACTTTGATCTCCTTGTTTGCATTATGGATAAAGCAGTAGATTCACAGTTGTTTTGGCATGTAGTTATTTGACAGACAGTGAGTTGTTTTGGAGCTTTAGCAAACAAATTATTTCTAAAAGCATTTTCTGGTTACTTTCTTTGCTTATTCTTTGGGAATCAAAAAATAGAACTTTAACTCTTATAGTGTTTGCCCATATCTATTCTTACCTGAATTTAAAACCAATCTTTGCTTCATAAGTTAATGGCCTAGTAAAAACAATTGCTGTTTTGTGCAAGTGTTCTTACTTGTGTGCTTTATACTTATGTCTGTTTGTTCCTCTAGTCAATCACTTATTGGTTGCCTTTACCTATTTTCGCATCTTTAATTTCATATTACCATATACAGTCCCTTTTATTTTTTTCTGCTCTCTGAACGCAGAACTTCTTGTTTGAATTCTGTTGCATCGATGTCTGATCAGAGCTGCTCCAATATTTGCAGGCTGGTAATCAGGATTAGAACTAGGTCGATATAAGTTGTTTCAAAATCGCATGCTCCTTTTATGTTTTGTTTCAGTAGTAAATATAATAGGGAGCCTTAGAAGTCTCATACTTGATTGTCACTTCGGGGTAGAGTGTTCAGAATGTGGAGCTATGTTTCAAATGCACTTCAAATGGATTTCTTTAAATAAGAAATAGAATTCTTGAGCAGAGATTATGCCCTTTTTAAATTTCAGAGGGTAACACCAGAAGGTTTTTGTATACTTAGGGAGACTTTTACTTGAACTGATCTAGAACTTGAAAAAGTGCTGAATTGGGAACCCTGTAAAAATAAGACCTGTTTGGCCACATATCAGAGAGTGGACAGGCAGTGTGCTTCTCAGCAGGGTGATTGTCAAGTTTTCCAGAATATGATAGATCCGTGGAGATATGAGCAGATGACCAAAATAAGATGACCTGATTTTGCCCATTCTATTATGTCTGGTAAACTGGATGCTAGTTTACTTCAGTGCTGCTACTGTTATCCACAATTTGCTACAGAGAGCACATTTTCATTCCTTTCAGACAGCACATTGTGTGTCCTATACCATGTGATTTTTATCAGCTATATGCACATTGTTGGTGAAAAGTGCCCATTTATGCCTCATTCTGATAATCATATATACCTTCATCTCTTTAGTCTTTTGCTCCCTTAAATACCTTTTCATATTCTTCATGTGTAGCAAATATCTGAAGTCATTGCCTTACCTTTTTCTTCGGTCCAGTAATGAGACGTACATTTGTGAGGCCTCTTGGCAGCTTCCCCGAAGCATGGCTAAGCAGGCAGTGAGTTGGAGCTGCTTCGTTATGATCCAGCTTATTTGATGGTTTTGTTTGTTTGTTTTTGTTTTGTTTTGTTGTTGTTGTTTTCCTTTTCTCCATGATTCCCCTGGAACAGGCTGCCCAGATTGGTTGTGGAGTCTCCTTCTCTGGAGATCTTCCAAACCCACCTGGATGCCACCCTGTGCCACGTGCTCTAGGTGTCCCTGCTGGAGCAGGGGGGTTGGACTAGATGATCTCTAGAGGTGCCTTCCAACCTCAACCAGTCTGTGATTCTGTGGTTCTTGGTAAGAAGAATAACTATTCTTGGGTAAGGATAGAGTTTTTATTTGTGTAATGCACAAAGAATCAGAGTATGGTCTGGAGCCCAGATGTTAATGTAATTAAAAAAAAAAAAAAAGTTCATGTCCTCTTACATGTTTAATTAAAAACAAAAAAAACCCCAAAACTCTGCATTTCTGTTGGCTTGGTATTGTTTCCTAAGATGTCAAGTTGTGCAAGATCTTTGGAAGATCAAAAATGGCGCTCCTCTTGCTTTTGATTTCTTTTGTTAGTTTTGGTAATGTTGTGCTTGCTGGTGTGCTGTTGTGCCAGACGCATCGAACATTGATATGAAATGAAGCCAAGTGAGTGGGAACACTAGCCCACAGTTTGCCTCTGCTCGTCTGTATTTCTTGTTCAGGAAGGTTGTATGGTAGCAGGGTGGCTGCTGTGTTTCAAGGTTATTTGGAATACATCTCTGTCTTTCTGAATTAAAATGGCATGAATGGGATGGATTCCAGATGTGCTGTGATATTTTCTTCTTTTTTTTTTTTTTTTGTATTTGTTTTGCATCTACAGGAGATAACTGATCAATGAGAAGAACAAGCTTTCTATTGAGTCGCAGTGTTTGCAGTCACTTGGTGTTTTCTAACTGACATCTTCTCACATTAGTTGATTTCAAATCTAAAAACACACTGTAGGAGAGAGAAATACAGTGGACCTAAACATTCATGACCAGAATTAAACACCAAACAATAGCTATAACGGCAAAATAGTGGCTTTTCCACCACTGGTGGTGTAGTACCAGGGTTGTGTTTTTCCTTTTTTTTTTTTTTTTTTTTTTTCTCCATTTGTCTTGCAAGTAGAAAGTTCAAGGCTGAATAAATTCTCTTTGTCATTTTTCTCCAGTTGAATCCATTTAAAATCAACAGGAGTTCTTGTATGAAAAAAAAACTTAATTTGTTCTTATGAAAGTGCTGCTTCTATTTTTTCCACCTAAAAGGTGAATAGATTGGGCTTTTAGCTTTTTATGGCAGTATAAGCTCCAGAACTAACCTTGTGCTAAACTTCAATGTAGATTGGACAACTGGGATGTGAAGCAGTGTTCCATGCAAAGTATCGAACTGCAACTGTTTTGGTGGTGTGATGTCCTGCAAATCTTGCCAAATGAATGTCAAGTCAAGGTTTTCAAAGTCATGTTGGATTTAAAGATTTTTATGGATTTTCACAGAATAGTAGAGGTTAGAAGGCATCTCTGGAAGTTGTCTTGACCCTGTTCAAGTGGTGTCAACCACAGCAGGTTGGGGTTGGGTTTTGAGCAAAGATGACACATCCTTTTCAAGGATTTTCAGCAGAGGTGTTGAGGGAAGGTGCGTGTATGTTTGACAGAGGTCTGGTGAAGTACAGTTGTTCTTGGTACTGTAATGAAAATGATATGAGCACAAAAATGGAAAGAAATTATTTGTTTTTGGTGCATTACACCAGCTTTGGAGCTGGGGAGGTGACAGAGAGGAGGTGTTTGTCACGTGTCTGGAAAAGCCTTCTGAGCAGAGTCAGGCTGGTTGTGGTGCAGGTAGGGCAGAATGCCCTCGTACATCACTACCATGTCTGTGGTTTTCTAGAGCATCAGTGTCAGTATGGGCTGCTTTCTTTCTGCTGCACAGTGCAGCAACAGGCGTATGCAACAGGGGTGGAAGGTGCCTTCAGGGACTGACATAAAACCACAAAACAAATATCTAATAAAGTTAAATGTAAAATCGATCTCAAGTGTGTGCTGTTAAGTATGCTGCATCCTGCAGAACAACAGGGTTAACCTGGCTGTGTAGATGCCAGAGAAAGTGGAGAAATACTGTAAAGATTGAAAGTAACACCTGTTTATTGAAGAAGAGAGGCAAGCAGGGTTTTTTATTATTTTTCTCTTGGTGCACTGTTTTTTTTTCTAAAGATCAAGGGGATTTTTTGTTCAGCAGAGGGGCATACAGAGCATCTTGTTCAATATAGGTGGAAAGAATCACCTATCTATAATAAAACTAGAAGACTGGGGAAGGGAAGAGGGACAGTTTTGCGTTCATTTGTAAAGGGTGTACTTGAAAGTTGGTACTGTGGTAAGTATGGACACTTTGCAGAAACTAGATGATGTTCCTTTGTCATATATCTCTCTAATGTTTGCTAACATGTTTTAATCAGCCAGTTAAAACAGCATTTATCTATCATTTTGCATTATCTTTAACTTTTGGTATTCCTGTGCCTAGGGATAGAGCCCAAGTTAAACATCCTTGAGATTGTGAAGCCTGTGGAGACTGTGGAAGTAGTGATTGATCCAGATGCTCATCATGGTGAGGCTGAAGCTCACCTTGTTGAAGAAGCTCAAGTGATAACCTTGGATGGAACAAAACATATAACAACGATTTCAGATGAGACCTCTGAACAAGTGACACGATGGGCTGCAGCACTGGAAGGCTATCGAAAGGAGCAGGAGCGCCTTGGAATTCCCTACGGTACTTAGCACGTGACTGTGGGCGTGTGGTAGGGAGGGGATGCTATTTTGTTCCTTTGGAAGTTAGCATTTTTTTAATAAACTGTAACTTAACATTGGATTTACAATTCAAAGTGTTCTGGTACCTCCAAGAAGGGTTTTGTGGTATGGGAGAAAGCAATGCACGTATTTCTGCAAAAGAGAGGGCTAAAGAGTTTTTAGAAATTGATTTTCTTCGTGACTATTTGAACAGCAATCAGGAGTTGGGGAGGGAAGGAGTCTAATCTAAAGATATCGTAACAAGGTACTCAACAGGCTGCAGGAAGTTAAGTACGTTGTAAATTGGGATTTTGTATGGAATGCAAAATGTTGGCTTAAATGCGGTGGAAAAATATGATTCAGAACTGAATGTAAAGATACCTGTATCTTTACCTAACGTAAAGTAAACGATAATCTCTTCTGAGCTAGTGTTGTTAGCACTGAGCAGGTTACTCATTTCTTGTTATCTTACACTTAAAAGGCACTTTTTCTATGTTGAAGATTGAGCTGCAATTCCAGTTTTAGACCTATATGATATTCAGCTTATGCATTTGTGCTTTTGTGACTCTTTGAAATGTACAGTTATGTTCTGCACATGAAGCTATAGTACATGAGCAGATTTGCAGAATCAAAGTATATTCGGCCAAAGGGATATTTTGAAGTTATAAAAATATGCCAGTGAAGTCATAGGTTAAAAATGTTTACACATTATTTCTGATAGTTAAAGATTTTAAAGATTTTTTGATGCTTTTGTGTTATTGACAAACATTTCCAAAATAGCTTTTATCATGTCTGTTAGTTAAGGATGTGATGCAGAGTGCATTCAGAGTTGTCTTACCCTACCACTCATCCTTGAAATCTTGCATTAATGAGTGAGCTTGTGGGCAGAAGAAAATTATTTAAGCCTGTATTATTAAGACCTTGATACTGTGAATAAGTTTTACTAATTTTGTTGCCTGGCCTTAAAAAAAAAAAAAAAAAAAAAAAAAAAAACACTTGTGGCTTTAGACATTTAATGTTGTCTTTGTCACGGGAGTGCAGATTTTCTAGGAAAATGATGCTCGCTTGTTGTGACAAAGATCTCTGTGACCGTAAGCCTCACTTGATACCCGAAAAGTGCACTGCACTGTCTATTGCAAGGACTCGTGCTGAAGTGGGGCACCACTGTGTTCAGTATTGGGATGCAGTGAGAAATCCCTGGGAAGTTAACTCCGGGAGATGGCAGCCGCTTGCCTTTGCTTGTCATTGCCAGCTCCAGCAAGGAGCAGCTACGTGTGCAACGGGCACGTTGGCATTTCTGCTTTCTTTTCCCGCAGATCCCATACAGTGGTCGACAGACCAGGTGCTGCACTGGGTGGTGTGGGTGATGAAGGAGTTCAGCATGACTGACATAGACCTCAATGCGCTTAGCATCCCCGGGCGCGAGCTCTGCAGCCTCAGCCAGGAGGACTTCTTCCAGAGAGTCCCACGGGGAGAGATTCTCTGGAGCCATTTGGAGCTGCTTCGGAAGTGTACGGGAGATGTTTCTGAGACCGATTTTACTCCCTCCACCCTTCTCCTTGCTTTCCTTTTTTCCTTTCTTCTTCAGGGTGACAGGTGCCAGTTCATGTTAGCAGTAAAAATTAGGGCACTAGGTACAGGAGATATTAGTGAGAATGACTGCTGTTATGAAGCTTGTCTTTATATTAAACATTGTTTGCCCATCTTTCATCAAATTTTATAACTAATAGGGAGGAAACAGTGACTTATGACTCAGTCTTTCCTTCTAATAAAGATCCTTAGTTTGTGCATCTTCTCTTTTTGACAGTTTTTTAATTACATATTGACTTTTCAGTTGTTTAATGTACACCTCTGTCTAAATAGATATGAATAGAATTAAGCATATGTAATGAAGTCCTTAGACTGTGTACAGCACAGCTGATGAGTAATGCATTGGGTGTCTATAAATACGCTTTTAGATCTACTTTGCTTGGCTGTAGTTAGGCAGGCTAAAAACAATTTCCATCTTGAGTCTTGCTATTAATTTATATTATATCTCTAAAGATTTTAGAGGATTAAAAATCAAAACGATGCTTTGTAATTCACCATCAACAAATCTATTTCTAAAAAATGACAAATATTAGTTATCTCTAGCCATAAAATGATGGGTGGTGCTTGTCACTTGCAAATACTTATCGCACTTCAGCTTATTTAACTTTCTCTGAAGTACAGAGGTATTCAGCTGACCTGAAGTTTATGGGTTGAACAAAAATGTAACATTTTTTTTTCTTTTAATTTTCAGATGTGTTGGCTAGCCAGGAGCACTCTGGAGAAATAGCAACTGTAACTATTGATCAGCGTGAGTAGTTTGTTGATTTACACAATTAATTGTTAGCAGGACCCTTGTTTTCAACACTGATGATAGAAGATTTAGAAACACACTAGAGAGAGTAGTTTGCTTTTGTGGGGAGAAGTGCATTTTAAGCTTTAAATAAAATCTTTGTGTTTGGGGTATTTTGTTCCTTGCTGAAAGATTCCAAATAACCTGACTAGGAAAGCTTGTCATCTTCATTTTGTATTACAGGTTTTCCCCTCTGCTCTGTAATTGTGATGAAAACTGTTAGTTCTCAACAACTGAAGTTGCTATGTTTACATTTATTTATTTATTTGTGTGCTCATATGTGAGTGAATGTGTATTAATTTCTACAAAAGAGTTCTAGGATATATATCTTAAACTCAAGGACTTTCTTTTTTTAATGTTATGCATTAGGTTAATGAATAGCTATTTTAAAATGTTTTGAGTTGAGGAAAAAAAAATTCTCCGAAAATAAAAGGAGATCTGGAAGAGAGGGCTTGTTTAGAATTGGTACATGAAAGTTTTCAAGTTACCAGCAACTCATTCTTCTAGTTGCCATACATTATCATCCATTAAGAAAATGAATCGCTTTGTAAGCAACTTATGTACAGTATAGATAAGCCGTTTATTACATCCTTGGTATGTGTGTAGCTAAAGTCATTTAGAGTGTGGACTTTATGGGCCACCTCTGACACCACTGCAGTGGAAGGATATTTCACTGCTGCTTGAATATCAGATTTGGAGGGTTGTTCAGTGACTACAGAAAAGAAAAGCATTAGGACAGATTGTATGGGAACAGCTTGAAGCTGAAATACAGGCATGAGATTTCTTTCACAGAAATGCGTAATACTCATGATAATAGACAGAAGCTAATGCCTTACCTGTAATTCAGTATCTCCTACAGCTTTAAAACCACTGTTTCCACTCTAAGAGGTAAAAACTCTTTAAATTATTCTTGGCATGGTGACTTATTAATACTGCATGTCTCTTCTTTAGCAAAGGAAGAAAACAGCTAGATATTATGATAATACAAATAATAAATAATATATGCCTGTGCATCTGATGTTTCTCTGCCAGCAATTTATAATTGATGTTTTGCAATGTTTTCTGCTTTACAGCTGTGCAAATTATTCCAGCATCTGTACAGCCTGCTACCCCAACCACCATTAAAGTAATCAACAGCAGCGCAAAGGCAGCTAAAGTACAGAGAGCTCCGAGGATCTCTGGGGAAGACAGAAGTTCCCCTGGCAATAGAACAGGTACTGTCTCCATTATTTAAAAATGCAGAGATAGTAGGCACTTAATCTGAGTTACAGTTTTGCAGGACACATATCTGTCACTTTGAGTATGGTGGTTGTAGAAGAAATTCACAGAACATAGCACGGGCACGTGCAAACCTGCCAAGGTGGGTGGCTCACCTAAGCACTACACTAAGGCCATCCCACAGCTTCTTGCAGCGGGTGGAGGCAGCGGCCCAAGTGCTGTACAGTAGATGAGATGCAGAAATTGTCCATCTCTTCCTGTCATTAAACAGTCTGTCCTCTCAAGCCCCTCTACCACATCGCTCAAGCTCGTAGCATCTTTCCACTTTTGTTCACAGGCAGTGGGAAGAGGAACTGTGTGCTGCAGAATCCTGCTGACCCCATCTGCCTTGCTTTTTCTTTCTTTTTCCTTTTTGTCTTTTCCTGCTGGCATCCTCAGAATTTAGCAGGTTTCAGATTGCTGTTTTGTTGTTAAATTAATGCACTTTCTGGAGAACAGCACACTGAATTTGCAGGTTATTTTCAGAGTTCTTGTTATTCCTACATGCTCTTTGATTCATTAATAACTTATTACATTGCTTTCTCACTGTCACTTCCCCTCAGGTTCTCTCTTCTCCTGTGAACTGTAGTGTTAATTCCCTTCCTCTGCCCACCCCCCCCCCCAACTTTTTTCCCTTTTTCCTTTTAATTCTCTTATAAAGTCTGTGGTGCTGAAATTGGGTTGTTTGGCCCAGACCTTATGAACTGGTGTCAATGGGAAAGACGTTACAGGTTTCTCCCTTCAAATGTCGGGTCTGCTGTACATCTCATTGAGAATTTAGGTATTTAACTTCAATTACTCAAGTAAACAAGGAATTTTAGTGATGTGGTCAATGTTGTAAAATGAATTTTTCGGTATGACTAGTACTGCAAGTAGAAACCTACAGATTAATATATTTTAAACAAAAATTATTATACGTATTTATATCAGAAAAGGAATAACTGGCTTTCACTAAATCTGTTCTCTTTCAGTGGTAGATATGCATCTGAATCATCATGTTTAACATTATATAGATTTCTTCTTAAGTTTAAAATGAGTATATGAGAAATCTTAATTTGCTATATTCCTTGGGTTTTTTGAATCAATATTTATTAACTTGAAAAATATGATTCATTTGTAAAGTAGGAATAATTAAGTAAGCTCAAGGGTTTTGGGGGAGGGGTTGTTTGTTTTTCTGAGCACATTCTGTGCTAGTTTGTTTAATGTGATAGCTGAGAATTTTTAGCCATGATGAGAACATAAAAAGCACTGCTTAAAATGGATATCTTATTCCTATTTCAACAGGAAACAATGGCCAGATCCAATTATGGCAGTTTTTATTAGAGCTTCTTACTGACAAAGATGCTCGGGACTGTATTTCTTGGGTTGGTGACGAAGGAGAGTTTAAACTGAATCAACCTGAACTGGTTGCTCAGAAATGGGGACAGCGCAAAAACAAACCCACCATGAACTATGAGAAGCTTAGTCGGGCCCTGCGGTAAGAAACTTTGAAAACTGACCATGTATGAAGTGTTTAGCTTCCACCTAACAGGCTATTTTATTTTTGGCTGTCATAATGTGAGACTTGCATGTTTTTTAGTAAAAGCTTTACTAAATAGAGTTCTCAAGCTACTTTCTTCATCTGATCTCAATAGCATTAGAAATAACTCTATTTTTAAAAAGTGAGGGGAATAATACAATAATGATTGAATATTTCAAAATATATTTTAGGTTATTGAACTTGAACTAGTGACATCATGAACATGAGTAACTTGTGTAGGTCCCTTTTTCAAAGAAAAAAAAAAAAGAGCAAATTCAGTGTCTTCAGCATTTATGTTTTCAGTAATGTGCCGAACATGTTTTGTTAGCGGTGAAAGAAACAGAAAAGTATGAATGCTCTGATTTGTTTTATATTTTGCAGGTTATGTATGCACCTCTGGCTTCTGTTGCAGTATAACAAAGACATTCTTCTGTGATTATTTAAATATTTTTTCCCTATGTGTATCATTTTTCTCTATATAGAACAAAATTTGAGTTTATACTTTCACTGAGTTACTCCGTTATTCTCACAGTATACATGTTCAATTCCAAAATATGGTTGATAAACAGATAAGTCTCAACCGTTGTTGTTATTCCCATATAGTGAGCTTCTCTGTTTGAACAATTTGCAGTGTTTCAGACCATCTTAATTCTGTGATCTTGCTCTCATACTTTGATGAAAGGAAACTGTGCTATCAGTGTAGATGTGCATCGATGTAGATGACGTGCCTGGGGAACAAAATGCAAGTACCTGAATGTTAGACTTCTCTTCTGAATGTTTTGGCCTCTGGAAAAATTTGGAAATTCTTCCAAGTTCTCTGAAATCATTCAGAGACGGAACTTTCTTATTCTCATATGGTTATATCTATTCTGTTCATTGGTTGGGAAGACAAGTTTTTAGTACCTCATGCTGCAAATATTTAAGCAGTTTTAAAACTTTTCATAGGAGTAAACTTGCATACTAGCTTAAGTCTGAGATAAAAGCTTTAGTTTTAGTTGTCTCGGTTCTGCTCATGTTATTTTCCAAGAGGAATTACGCTCTGTTCAGGTGAGTGCCAAGGAGAGGGGGACGATCCAATCCCTCCTTCCCACGGGGGCGCGGGAGGGCTCCGCCAGGGCCAGGGCTTCTCCTGCCTCGTGGCCATCGGGCTGCAGGGCCGGACCCCAGCGCCGCTTCCCGGCCCGGGGGCCTGCGAAGCCATTCCCGTATTGCTGTGTTTGGCTGCATCTCTGCAGGGGTTTGCTGAAGGCGCCATGTGCAAAACCTCTGCAACGTCAAAATCGCGTGAGTGGCTTTGTAACGTCCTCTTGGTTTTTGTCAACAACTATGCAGAAGATTTCAAAGGCAGCTGAAGAACTGAGGAGTAACATTCTGATCGCTGGGTGCTAAACAGATGCCTGCACAGTAATTTGCATAAATCTCTATTAGAAGTTCTGCATTTATGTTTTAGTCACAGAATCACAGAAGTCACGTTCTTCAAAGTCGTGCTCTTTTGGCAGCTGCATCAATATTGACATATTTTCTAACACTTCAGTGTCTGAGGAGATACTCATTGCCACTTTCTACTACTGAGAAAAGCACTGCTGTCAACCTAAACTTGTAGCAAAACAAGAACAGTAGTGTAGATGTTTCTTCACCCAATGTTCTGAAGTTACTATGTTAATTTTTGATTAATATAGAAAATAAAGTTGACATTATTGAGCAAGATCCAACCCTCTAGGTTATAGAGTTGGTGTAACCGTTGTAAGTAAATCTGTGCTTCACTGGGAGGCCGGATGTGATGGACACGATGCAGAGCAGGTCACAGCAGGCAGGGCAGGTGACAAGAAGGTCTGGAAATGGGGCTGGTGTGGGGAAAGTGCAGCATGGAAGAGGGGTAGCAGCTAAGGGAGGGGATGCGGGGGGAGGTGGGAGGAGCGGAGCGAGGAGGCAGGGAGCGGGGCAGGGTGCCGGGCAGAGCGGGTGTCCTCACCCGTGGCCAGGTGTTCTGCCAGGGGAACTTCTGATTTCAAAGAGTCTGAAGAAATTTGGTAGGTTCTTACTTATTTACTCTCCACGAGAGCTAGGAGACAAAAGCCAGCCTTCCATTTAACCTAGCTTGGAACAAGGAACCTCTTTGTTTTACAAGCAGGTCCTTCAGAGGACTGGCTCCTGGACTGGCTCTGAGCTGTTGATTTTGAGGAAGACAAATTAGGATTTTTTTTTCCAAATTTATCACGAGCTTGCTATGATTATCAAATACAAGTTATGTCCATCTTGCATTTTCTTAATGAGAAATGTAATCCGCATTTTATTAGTGCCTGCAGTGAAACAAGAACAATAAAACTGTAAAATGCCAACTACATTTGTTCTCATTAGTATTACCTAAGGATTTGTAATGTCTGTGGAGTGAAGTTGAGCATCTAGGCTGTATCTCTACTGTGTCTCTGTTAAGTGTGATAACTTTCCAGTAGCATAATATAAAATGCATTTGTAGGTAAAGAAAAGTCACTTTACTTGCAATTAAAAGGCAAAGGATGTAGTTGTGCCAGTACTTGAAGTACATGAAAGAGAAAGCAGAATGTGTTTTTACAGTTGTACTATCTTTAGAGCAATTGTTCCCTTCCTATTGTTTTCAGTAGCATAGAGAACAGAGTTTATCTGCAAACTGTTATCTGCGTGATTTTTTTTTTATTCTTGGAAAAGCAGGGAGAAGAGTAAAGAAGGCAAATGACAACAACAAGGAGAAGACAACATTTTCTTATCTTGATATATGAAATTACATGAGAATCTTGATGAGGAAAAGATCAGTTTTTGGCCTTGGCGTGTTCTTAGGCAAGCGACCGCGTATCGAAGTTACAGATGCTGAAAACTTACATTGATTTTTCCTCCCCCATTTTGCAGATATTACTACGATGGAGACATGATCTGCAAAGTGCAAGGCAAGAGGTTTGTGTACAAGTTTGTGTGCGACCTGAAGACCCTGATCGGGTACAGCGCGGCGGAGCTGAACCGGCTGGTCACGGAGTGCGAGCAGAAGAAGCTGGCCAAGATGCAGCTGCACGGCATCGCGCAGCCCGTCACGGCCGTGGCGCTGGCCACGGCCTCCCTGCAGGCAGAGAAGGACAACTGAGCGCCAGGACGGGACGGGGAGCCGCAGGCCTTCGTGTGGGAGTGCAGCACTTGCTGCTCTTACCTTTACCACAATTGGAAGTTTCTTTTCTTTCTTGACAGTACAGTATGATGCATGATTTTCTACCAAGAAAGGGGACTGCTGTGAATTTGGATCTTTTAACAGCATATATTTCAGTGTAAGTTAAGGGATTACCACAACCTGTGCAGCTTTGAGGCTGGGTCTGTGTGGTAGGCGATCTGGAATTGGCGAGGAGGGCTCAGCTGGTCGGTGTTGTGTGTCCATAGCTCTACAAGGTCATTTTTGCAGTGCTTTTAAGAAAAATTAAGTACTTACAGGAAGCAGGGCGATCGGTTGTCTGAATTCGATTCTTGCCACTCTTTTGCTCTCTGCTGAACTACCAGATGGGTTTGATGCTTTCAGAGTTAAACGTGCTCCTTATTCTCGTGTAATCAGGCAGAGTTGGGAGAAAGGCACGGTCAGCGTCACAAAGCATCAGGTTCTCCATAACTTCTGTGTGTATAAGCAGAGGAAACTAAAACTCGACCCAACTGAAGATCAGTGCTGAAGAAGGAGATCCAGGTTTAAATCTGGCTTAGGTGAGAAGCCAATTATGAGTATTTCATGGTTATATGTAGATAATATGCATATATGAGGGCAAGTACTTAACCTGTTTTGTTAATACTAGCTATTTAACAAAAGGATAAAATAAAACAAAACCAGACAAAATCCATCCCATCCCAAGCCAGGGTGATTTGAAAACTTAAAAAAATATACTCCTTGCCCAAAGAGTAGGTTATTCTGGTGGGATTTTTTAATTCCCTCTTTGCCAAGGTGCTTATACCTGTGGTAGTCAGCCTTAGTAACTGAAGACTTAAGTTAATCACAGTCAGCAGTCTCTTCCTGTTTAGAAACAAAATGCAAGTTAAAAAAGTTTTAGAGAACTGAAGTTCGACTTACAAATTATTATAGAGTCTGACATTTGAGTATGAAGATATGTAATTTTTTATTTAAAGTTAATTTCTCTCTGAACTTCAGAGTTTGAGGCCTTATAAACCAAATGCATACTCTAGAGCCAGGTGCAGTTTAAATTCTGGAGGTTTCATAGAAACAATTGGAAGGTATTTTGAATTGAGAGACACTGATATTGAGAGTGCTTCATGCAAACTTAGACACGCAGTAAAAAACAGGCTGCAATTTCTGAGCTACTGTACTGATGCCCATTAGACTCTTTCTTTTGATGTCTGAAAAGAGTGTTTTTGCTTTTGCTCCTTTGTGTTCTTAAATAGCGTAAATGTTATGTCACTGTGCATATTTTCTAACTTTTATAAATAACATTTTTTAAAATCCCTCTGGTAACAGTTGACAATTAGTTAAAATGCAAGTGAATAAGGGAAAGCCTTCTTTTCTGTGAGGGATTGAGGTACTTTTAAAATGTAGATCAAAAGTACTTGTACAGTGAGACTCTAACCATAAAATACGATTATACTGAGTAGTGGGAGCACTGGGCTGTTGCCCTTCACCTAAAAAGGAATGGTCATCCTTGCCGTCATAGGACAGAGATACTTTATTTTAATTTTAAAGATACTTCGAGGACAGAGCAGTTTGTTTTGAGGGGGATGTTCACCTGCAGATATTTTTGGTTGACTGGAAACCTCGCGTGTGCTTCTCCAGCACTCCGCTTTTTCATCACCACCCATTACACTTTTTCCTGCTAGATTCTTTCACTAACTCTAAATATGGTCTTCATTCTGGAGCCTCTAGAGCACTCCATCTACTGAGCATGCTTCTTTTTTCCATGTAAATCTTTGACGCCGTGCGGAAAAGGTGCCAATGCGTCTGTGAGAGGAGGTCAAGCCTCAACCCACCGTTGCTGTTGCAGCAGTCTGACTCCACCGGCTGCCGAGCGTTTGAGGTGACTTACACAAACACAGATTTGCTTACTAGGAGCAAAATGAAGCTGCTGGTTCAGTGGCAACAACTGGTTATGTGACACCACTCCGCTGCTAGGCAGAAGGTCCAGTGCAAGTCGCTAGTTATGTTTAGTTCATGAAAACATTTTTAGTCAAATACAGCACAGAAAGAAAAGATCTTAAAATACAGGCTTTCCAAATCAGAAGGGGCTCTGGTAGGATAAGCTAACAGCAAAATGTAAAGGTAATATCACTACTTCATCCCCTTGAATATTTTCTTTACACCATAAGCCCACAAGGGAGAGGAATCTAATATCATGCTTTATTTGTAAATGTATTTGATGATTATTTTCAATTTTTTCAGTAGCTGTGGTAGTTCTTTGAATTCTTTGTTGTGAGATCATCTGCTTTTCTATCTTGTTCTCTTCAGTAACAAAAGAATCTTTCATACAATATAAAATTACTGTCACGTTTTCTGCAGTTGAGGGAGAAATCTGTAACTAACTTGATGTCTTCAGAAAAATAAAAGATGTAGAATATATTGTCAAGAGCTGTTCTGTTGCTGCCAGAAGGAAAACATAGAATATTCCCAATTTTTTTGTAAACAGAAGGATTTTTGCATACTTTTTACTCTTTAAATAAAGACACTTATACTCTGCTAATAATTATGTATTTCTTTTGTGTTTTGCATTTTTTTGGTAATTTTACATGAAACAATTATTTTCTATTTTTACTCTGATAAAATATTTGTGCATAAAATGTCAATATAGTAAAATAAAAATGTTATACAGCTTATGCCTATTCATTTATTAATTTTTCAGAAAGCTGTCTGTCATTGCTTTCAAGCATAAACAATTTATGTTTATTAATGCATACACTTCATTTTTATTACTTTTAAGAACACAGGCTGTTCACAGGAAGAAAGCAGAATATCTTTTTTCTGAAGATGCATCTTCTTTGTCTCAATGCTTGGCTGTGTGTTTTTATTTTTAAACTGGAGCTTCATCTCCAAAACTGCTTTCTTTAGAACCTTAGAATTAGAGATTCTTAGAATCTCAGAACTGTGCTTCGAAGTACTGACTTCACAGTATAACAAAATAATGCCTCCTATAAATTATTTTTGTCTCACGTTGATGAATGGAGAAATCGATTATGTTTTGTGCTTAACGTTCAGTTATGTTCTTTTCGTAGGTGGTCTACCATAACTGTTTATGGTGGGAAAGGGAAAATGTGAAGATAATTATTGATTATATTTGTAAGCAACTTCATTAATGTAATTGCTTAAGAAAAATGAACGCAGCTGGAGGGTTATTATTTATGGGAACCAGTTGGATTCCTTGTGTAAACAGCTGTCTTTGTTATCAAAACCAGGTAAAATTGCAGAGGTAAAACTTTATCATTTTTGACTTGTCTAACTTCTTGAATTGTAAAACAACTGTTGAACAGAAGATACTAAGAGAAAAACTTGGTCTAGTTTTTGTAGACACTTTCAGATTTCCACTACTAAAAGGGCTTAGAAACAAAACAAAATCGTAGAATCGTTAAGGTTGGAAGGGACCTCTAGAAATCATCTAGTCCAACCCCCCTGCACACACGGGGTCACCTAGAGCACGTGGCACAGGACTGCGTCCAAGTGGGTTTTGAAGATCTCCAGAGAAGGAGACTCCACAACCTCTCTGGGCAGCCTGTTCCAGGGCTCTGTCACCCTCACTGGTAAGGAAAAAATTTCTTAAGTTCCTGTGGAACTTTAGGTGTTTCAGTTTGGTGGCCTCTAGTTCTGTCGGTGGCCACCAGTGAAAAGAGGCCAGCACCATCCTCCTCACTGCCTCCCTTGAGGTA